ACTTTACAGTTGAGGAAACTGAGGCAAACAGAGATGAAGTGACTTGCCCAGGATCACATGGTTAGTAAGTGTCTTACGCCACATTTGAACTCTGGCTCTCCTGACTCCAGGCCTGTTACTCTATCTACTGTGCCACCTAGTTGCATGATTGACAGTTTCAGTCCTGAATATGTTTCTAAAGGGACGACGAAAAATGTTTAACCAAAGGTTATTGGTAGTGTTTAAAAAAATATACTAATAGCTTACTCTAATATAGATAGCACTCTAACGTGTTCAAGGAATTTTACTCACAGCAACAATAATAACGGCTCCATATATATTGCTTTAAGGTATGCAAAGAAGTTTATAAGCATTATCTTATTTGATCTTCAAAACTCCATTCTATTACTAACAGTGTTTTACTGATAAGGGAACAGAAGCTGAGAGGTAATCATGCCCAGCACCACACAGCTAGCAAGTCTCTGGGTCATAATTTGAACTTAGGTCTTCCTGACTCCAAGTCCAGTGCTCTATACATGATGCCACATAGCTACTTAAAAAAAATAGATGGTGCTGGAATTATTAGTAGTAGTATGGAACTGAAAACAGAAATCATCTGAAATAGATGCTGTAGAGGCAGGCTAAGAAGCATCTAGCACCAGCCAATATAAACACCATACATGACATAGAGTAGGAGTTTTATGATTATTTACTGAATTAAAAATGAGTTGAAATGAGACATTGGTCACATGTGTACTGGAAGATAATTCCCTTGCTGTTTTCTTCCTCGAAGAGGGTTACTCATAGCTCTTTAGTGCTAAAGTCAAAAGTCAAAGATCACATTCTTTAGGAATGTCTAACAAGAACATTGAGAGGACACTTCAGTGGAATAAGCACTACAAAGTACTGACAGACAACTAGACTTGAATACACCAATGGAGAAGAAAGGGATGCAGCTCATAGACGTAAGAGCTCCTGTAGATAGACATGAGTAGTCTTAACAATCAATGTTTACTTTATTTTCACTCCTTCTGATGTTTTGGATTCATTTGGCTTGCTACAATCATAATTCTCAAATTAAATTGCTTAACTCTGCGTTTGGTTTAGGAGAGTTTGTGGAAGCTAGAACAATCTTGGGAATATAATATTTTCTTAGAAAAATGAGTTGTCAAACAAATCAAAATAGCACTTAAGCTGCTTCCGTCCCACCTGCACCCACTTCCTAACATAGGAGATATTACAGGGCATAATGATCTGTTTTTAAGGAAGGATAGGGTTTTAATGGGTAAGTATATAAATGACTGTAAGTCGCGTTAAATTCTTTGCCACCATTGTTTTTTTTTTTAATGTAGTTCCCCTCAAAGGAGGAGAAAGGATAGATAGATAGTCACCTTTGATTCTTCCAAGGAACACAAAATGCTATAAACATGTTTTTTGCCCTCCTCACTGAACATGTTTTTTGCTTTGCTTCCCAAACACATTTTCCTTTCCTCCTCCATACTTCTGGCCCATCCATTTCTAACTGTCCTTGTGACTTTCCCCCAAACAATCTGGTAAATGTTTTATAAGGGGACATATTATTATTGGATTTGTAGATGTGTAAATATTCCAGTTTTAGCAATAGAAATAGCATCAGCACAACGTGTTCATAAAATACAGTAACTACAAAAAACTGTCTTGCCAACAATATTAAAACTAGACACTTTAGACACTAGGAAGAAAAGTAAAAGTCAAGATGTGACTGTGAAATGATGTCAACTTGGAAATCAAGATCTATATTTTCAAGCACCCATTTTGCACTAAACTGAAGTCATTTGTTCCCTGGGACACAACTGATATATTCATTACCAAACAAAAGTAAAAGAGGAAGGGGGTTTCTTTAGTTTATATTTCATTTCATGAGGTAAATTTCTTAGCATTTCAAAGGATTACAACCAAAACCCCAAAGATATTTTTGGTCTCATGCTGTAGTTTTTCTTCTTGGAAAAGGAAATACAAATCCACTTCTATCAAACTTTGGGGCAATAATTAGATTTCCTGAAATCTAAATTATTTTATACAATTCCATAACACCAAAGTGTGAGAACATGCACACCTGTGGTGATGATGGTTTTTCTTCTCCTATCTCCTCGTTAGTGTGAGAATTTGATCAGAGTAACTAGAAGGTACCAGAGGAGCTGCAATAATCCTACCAGAATCTTTAAGAGTTTTATAAATCTTATATAATGTCATGATGACAGATTTTGCCAAGAATCCTATATAGTTTCTCCTCCCCCAGGGAGGGATCAAATTGAGGGGCAAATTTTTAAACTTCTAGTCACAGCACATTCTCTGGAGCCCAAACTTGGTCTGATCAGTGTCTCCCCAAGTGGCCCAGACTGACACTTATAATAAATACCTAAGGTCACAAGGTGTTTACTTGATTTAAGAGGGTTTACATCCTTTTGGAATTTTTTTTTTTAGTGAGGCTGTTTTAGGGAGGGTAGAGTAAAGAAGGAGAGGAAAGGCCAAGGTAGCAATGTTCAATCACCAGGCTTTTCCTGAGACAAAAGCTCCCCTTTAACTCAGGGCTGACCAACCCCAGGAACTACTTGACAAATGTATAATTACTGCTTCATCAAAGTCCACCTGAGCAGAACCACAAGGGCCTTTTTCCCTGGGTATATTCATGGAAATATGGGGCATTGGGGCATTTTCTAGCAGTCAAGCTTTGCTACTAAGCCTATCTACTCCCTTGGTAACCAGTGGAAATCACTCTACGGCCCCCCCATTCCCATTTTTTTTAACAAGGAAAGACCAGTAAAAAAAAATATTTTACAGAGGATATAAATGCTTTTAAATTAAGTGGACTATGGTCTGCCAACTTAATGAGCTGATAATGAGCATTACTTATCTAAACCTGCTTTTACCCTGAGTCACACCAGGTTAATGTAAAGTTTGTTGCCCTGGTAGATTTCTTTGGCTTAGGAGACAGGCCCCAGTTTTGCTGAAGTGATTTTTTCTCTGCAAATAATCTTATGACTTCCTTTCCTTTTATTTAATGTAAAAAGATGAATTTTTTTAAAAAATATTATTCTTTCTGTGATCAAGGGCATTAGATTTGTTCTCTCATTTTTGCTACATACAAGAACAATGTAAATTGTACTTCCAGTGATTGTACATCAGAGGTACCTAACAAATATTTGAACTGAATTCAAATGAATCTATACTCTAAATTGACACTCACTATAAATCGGCACTTTCTTTGTTCAACTATAGTCCTGTTCCTAAGGGTGAAACTGAGTCCCTAAAACCAGGGCCAAGATTAAACAAAAATAGATCAAGAAGCTTCATTTGTAGTGTGATCTGAGGAGTGTCAAGAAAGGTCCCCCTGTCCCTAAAATAGCCTTCTACTATCTCAGAAAAAGACAATAACAGAGATAGAGACAGAGACAGAGATAAGGACAGAGAGAGAAACAGTGACAGAGACAGTAACAGAGAGACAGAGAAATGTCCCTTCCAATGTAAAAACGATCTGCAATAACTCGCAAATCCAACTATAAGGCAATTATTAAAATGTTAATAATCCACTTCCTATTTTTAGTAAGCAGTTATCAACTCTGAAAATTTTATCTGTCTTGAGTTTATCAGATTAGCTAAAGAAAGTCACTTAGCTGGCCCCTGACGAGATAGAAACAAGAAAGTTTTTTTTTTTAAAGGTAGAGAAGGGAGAGTTGTATTTTAGGTTTTGATGTTAATCAATCAGTCACTTATTAATTGCCCAGAACTGTGGTGAACATCTGATATAAAAAGACAAAAGCGGAATGGTCCCTGATTTCAGAGAACTTACATTCTAACTGGGAGAGAGCATAAGCATATGCAAAATATATACATAATGAAGACAAGACATTTTTTAGGAGGGAGTACACCAGCAGTTGGAGGAAATCAGGGAGGGGTTAATACGCTGCTGGAGCTGAGTTTTGAAGCAAGCCAAGGATTTACCTCTTTTCATATCACCAGTGCTTACACAGTGCCTGGCACGCAGTAGGCAATTAATAAATGTTTATTGAATTTAATTCCAAGAGGAGGGAGAGCATTTCAGGTGGGTGGGGGAAGGTTAATGGGAGCAGAAAAAGGTTGCCAAGTGGAGTAGGGGATAGCTTGTAGGCTCTGGGTGCCTGATAAGGAGGATACCTAAAAGTAAGAATAATTCTTTTATTTTTTTTTCTTTTTAGGCAATTGGGGTTAAGTGACTTGCCTAGGGTCACACAGCTAGGAAGTGTCAAGTGTTTGGTCTGAGGCTGGATTTGAACTCAGGTCCTCCTGACTTCATGGTTGGTGCTCTATCCACTGCACCACCTAGCTGCCCCAAGAGGGCAAAAGGGATGAAAAGACATTGAAAATAAACTTCACTAATTTCAAATTTTTGTATAGGACTATCCACTTCCCTGCAAGGTCCTAAAATTCTTCTCAAGCAATAAGAGATAAAATCATGCTTATTATTTTAGTGTTGTTAATTTTATTATACTCTTGATTCTTTGAAAATGGTCATACATATTCCTTGCAGTAGCTCTACTACATCTAGAATATTGGGTGAGTCAGAACACCCCAGACTCTGTCCACAATCAAAACAAATAAACAAACAAAAAAAAGAATTTGTTGGACTTGCACTCACCAATGCTACCTTGAATTTGAGTCTATTTAGCATATTTAGAGAGGCATAGGAAATAGACAACTTGGGCACTGGCAAGTAAATTTAAGCATTACCATGTTCTTGCAATGTGGGAAGACATTGAAAATTATATTCCTCAAAGTTACTGACAGAGGTAGGAAATCCCTGATCTCTTCAATAACACCTGCCATGATTTTTTTTGAAGGGTTTACTTTTGACAGAAACTATCATAACTCAGGGTTTTGGGTTTTGGTTTTTTTTTGGTTGAATGAGACATTTTTTTTGTTAGCAAAACAGCTGAGAGCTCTTAGAACTTCCAACCTCTTTAGTTCAATTGATACTTTATGACATCATTCAAGTCTAGATTTTTATCAAATGAATACCTTGTCCTTCCACCTGGAAACTGAAAGTGGGATGTGTCAAAAAAAAAAAGCCTTCTGTTTTTTTCTTCTTTTAACATTTTAACTTCAGCAAAAACTGCCTGAAGGGAAAGCTTTGAAGGTAAGTATTAACCCCTCCCTGCAAACCTTCAGAGCCCTGCACACAGGTTGCTTTCACAGTGTAATATAAATGGAGTAATGAACAGAGATGAATGTACCTCTGAGGCCCTTCAGTCCTAACAATGTGTAAAGCCCATTTAACTATGTACAATTGATGAAACTGTAATTTATACTGAGATCCCAAAATAATTAATTTCCATTCCTATCATAACAAAAGCATTCCAGAATTTGAAAACATATAGGTTACCTACCTACATGCCCTCCCTTTTCTCCCCCCCCACCCCGGCTGCACTGTAGGTAGCAGAAGAGAAAGCAAGGCCTTTGCTGCTGTTTAACTTTTTACTAGTATATGACTTACCTTGGTGGCTGAGTTTACGTAAGCAATGAGAAACAAAAATAGAATATGCTTAAATAATTCTCTAGTTTTTCTATTCTCTCTTTATATATAGATATAGATATGAATGCAGATAGATGTATCTAGATATAGATATATTTCCATTTATAGATTTATTCATTTCTAACATTCTCTTTCTCTACATATATAATATATATATATTTATACATACATATACATATGCATGCATACATATACTTACACATACACGTGCATATTCAGAAAGGAAAAATCTATAGATAGATAAATGAATAAGTATATCACAGGAGGTTTAAACTGGAATACCAAATAAACCAGCAACCAAGAGTTTAATTCAGTTCAATAACCAAGGTTTTTTAGCATTGTTTTTGTTCTTTTATCTGTGTAACTTACTCCAATATCTTGATAAATGGGTATCAATATGGGTGCTCCCTCCATTCCTTTATGTCCTGTGCAATTCTTATCCATGCCCTAACCATCAATCATCCATAGTCAGTCCCTCCCACCCCCACCCAGCACGCTGGGGACCTTCCACCATATGTCTTGACCTTGTGTTGGTAGAAAAAGCAAGCTGTTCACTTTGGTACAATGTACCAACTGGACCGGAGTCGGAGTACATTGGTTCAACTACCATCTTTGAGGCTTACTACCTGTGTGACCTTGGGTAAGTCTTTTTGTTACTCAAGGCCTCAGTTTTCTTATTTGAAAAATGAGATTGATTAGAGATCTCTTCTGGCTCTAGTTATTTAATCTCTCACTCTCGCAACATTACAGCCCTCTCTCTTTTCCCAGTAATGTATTTCTCAAGTGATTTATTTTACCATTTCTTTTCTGTGAAATTATTTACTAACAATAACTGCAGTCTATTTTGCCCACCATGTGCTTCTCCATTGCCCTTCGAGTGACCTATAGTATTTGTTTTTCAGAGACTACAGTATTCTAGGGCTCAGAGTCACACTGCATCACTGACAGGACATTAGTGCTTAAAAGAATCCAAGCTATAAACATGTGAAAAATACTCCAAAATCACTAATAATTAGAGAAATAAAAAAATAAAATAAAACAACACTGAGGTTCAACTTCACAAATAGTTTGTTAGCATACATGAATAAAAAAACAAATGCCAATTGTTAGAGGGGCTATGGGAAAATAGGAACACAGGTGACATGATGGATCTGTGAAATGGTTCAGACATACTGAAAAACACTTTAGAACAATATCCCAAAATTCACTAAACTTTGAAAAATCTTTAACCCAGTAATATCTCTTCTAGGCCTATACTTCCCCTTCCAAAAGATCAATTAATAAGTAAAGTATTAACATGCACAAACAAAAAAGGTCACCATCCATTGGGGGAACAACTGAGCAAATTATAGTATGTGAATGTAAAGTAATATTATTACATCATAGAAATTGATGATAAGGTCACACATGTTAACTGATACTGTGTGAAGTGAGCAGGACCAGGAAAACAATTTATCCAGTAACAATAATACTGTAAAATATTTACTTTACTTAGATTTTGTATAAAACATAAGTATTTTAAAGAAATACTTTAAAAAATTCTGACCAATGCAATGATCAACCATGACTCCACAGGGACTAAGATGAAGGCTTCTGCCTACCTAGTGATGGAGGGGTAATGGAGTCAAAGTGAAAAATAACACATGTATTCTTAGACAAAGCAAATGTGTGAATCTGCCTTGTCTAAGAAACCCACTTATTTACAAGAATTGTGTTTTCTTTTCTTTACATTTTTTCTTTTCATTTTGGAGAAGAGATATGAAGAAATGGGAAGCCAGTAATAATGTTGCCTCTCTGAAAATAGAAGAATAGGAGGAAAAAAAAGCACTTTTTAAAACACACAAAGGATAACAGAGAGAAATTCAGAAGACAACAAAAAGAAACAGGGAAGCCTTTTAACTAAAATGGTGAATTTATCACATATATTTAAAAGCAAGAAGTATATAATAGAGAGTTATAGTTTTGTCAACTATCTTTTATATTCTACATTTTATGCTGAAATGTTCATTTTTGGTTGTGAAGTTTATAATAAAATATTTTGAAATGAGAAAAAATAAATCTGTGATGCTGAAAAAGGGGCTTGGATTCATCTCAGGGGTTCATTGATAGCTGCTACTACAAATTATATATGAGTCAGAAAACTGAACGGAATAGTGAGATATTGGTTTATGGGTTGAGCACAAAGATGAGATACAACGCTAAGCACTAAAACCACCCAGGAGAAGAGTTTTAGAGGCAGCTGGGTATCGGTGTAACAGTTTAAATAACTTAGAATTAAGGAAGAGCTGGGTTCAAATCCTGCATCAGACCTTTACTAATCTCTGTAATTTGGTTTCACCATCAGTAAAACAGGGATAACAACACCACCTACCTCATAGGGTTATTGTGAGCATCAAATGAGATAATATAGGTAACATACTTGACAAAACTTAGAGTTATATAAATGCCAGTTGTTATTTTTACTATTAGACTGAAAGCTCAATGACAACATGGTATGCTATAGTATCCAAGAAAGCTAATGAAACCTTAGACTACAAAGAGAGCTATGGTATCTAGCACCAACAGGGCAATAATCCCATTATACTATGCTCTAGTCACAACCATCTGGAATGAAGTGTTCCATTCTCTAGGTGTCAATTTTAGGAGGGATATTGAGAAGATATAACATGTCCAGAGGAAGGAATTGGGATGGTAACTGGTTGAAGGAACTAGGGATGTTTAGCATATAGAAGGCAAGACATAGTGGGGAATATGATACTTATGTCCGAGTATTTGAAGGGCTGTCATGTGGCAGAAGGATCTAACTTATTTTCTTTTGTCTCAGAGGGTAGAATCAAGAGCAATGGGTAGAACTTTCAAAGAGGGCAATTTTTGACAGATGACAAGAAAAAAAATCCCCATGATTAGAGCTGTACTAAGGTGTAATGGGCAGTTGTGGGAGTTAGCAGGTACCCCTTCACTGGAGATCTTCAGGAAAAAACCTCAGTGATCCTTTGCCAAAGTTGTTGTAGAGTAGGCTTTTTTTTTCTTGGGTATAGATTAGACTATATGGACTGTGTGGTACCTCCCAACTCAGAAATTCTATGAAATATTTCTGTAACATAACTAATCATGCCCAAATCTACCTGCTTTATAATTTAACATATTTGTATATAAACTCTTATTTTTAAATGTGGTCTGCATAAATAATATATCTCACTAATCTCTTACTAATTTATCAATTAAAATGTCTAATTGTTCATAGATTGGAATGGTTAAGATTTTTGGTTTAAAGATAACTTTTTGCTTCACCCTTTTTCTTACTTTGTAAGAAATGTGAGCTTCAAATATTGGCATATCTGTGAATTTTAGGCATAGCATAAATGCCACTGAACTTCTGAATTATGATACTATTTAACTTCAATTAAACAGACTTCAAAAATTGTAACAGCTCATCACTTATAATATACAAATATAATACACCAAGATCTGGTTAGATGGCTTTCTAAAGGCACACATGCATATATAGCAAGTCAATTTTTAATATGTGTTGGACATAATATCAAGATAAGATACTGAATGCTAATGACTAGAAATTTATGAAGAGAGTACCCTCCATGAAATTGAAGAAAGCTTACCTAAATAAGGTATCAAATGCCCCCCATATAATCTTTTGTCAATTTTTTTAAAGTCACCAGAGCAGATAACATCTGGATGCTTGTAATCTGAATTTATCTGAAATCCCAATGTAAACAACTTCTCCAATAGTGGAGAAGTAGTTAAACATTCCACTGGCTTTGGATAATTGAAACCATCTTCTAAAAAATTACCTTCAATTACCGGACTCAGGGAAAGAAAGAGACAGCTTTTGGCAAGATTCCAGTTCAAAAAACTAAAAGAAAAAGGTTCATTTTCTGGCCTACAATGAGAGATCATTAAAGGTTCTATTGTGTTTGGAGAGGAGAATCAGGGATGTGTGGCCCTCCCAAAGAATATAACACAGGATTAGAGCCTAAAAGAGAGGTGCCATGGGCACTTATTTCATTCCCCTATATCAAAGAAAGACCATATAAAAAAACTTCAAAGACAAAGGAGGCTTCATCAGATCATTGCTTTTTTTTTTTAAAGTTTCATGGATGGAAACTGCAATTGTGCAGCCATCTTCTACCCTTTATATTCCTTGCAATCTATAAGTATGCACATGCACAAACAAACATAAGCATGCAAACACAAATGAAGGTATATTTGCATAACTTTTGGAATTTTAGGCTGTATATAATTTCAATAAAATTAAAAAGACTTCTGCTCTATAATATGTATTGCATTAAGTGCATTGCAGTCTTCTTATAAGAACGCTGTTAAATCCTTTCATCTTTCTACTGTCCTTCCTTCCCATAACATCTTCTGTCTCTGGGAACGATGGAACTAAAGAATTTCCTTAAATCTACTTACATTTTAAAGGCTGTATGGGATCAGTGAAAATGTATAGCATTACACTAGACTAATTATATATTGCAACAGTCAGCTAGTCAGCCCTGATGTCAACCTACTACATTACTATATTACCAATGATAATAAAGTTTTGACGGTAATTTGAAACATCTGCAAAAAATACCATCAAAGCA